GGTTTAATTCTTTAGCATCTTTGTTGAGTTTCTTTCTGATAGTTATATATTTTCTTGAGAGTGGTGTATTGAAGTCTCCAACTACAATAGTGATGTTGTCTATATCTTTTTTCAGTTTTGTATATTATGCAGCTCTATCTTTTGGTGCATAGATATTTATTATCATTATGTCCTCTTGTTCTGTTGACACTTTAAGCATTACATAGAGACCTTCCTTGTCCTTTCTGAGGGTTTTTGCATGGAAATCTATTTTATCAGAGATTAATATCGCTACTCCTGCTTTTTTCTGCTTTCCATTTCCTTGGTATATTCCTTTCCACCTTTTAATTTTTAATCTTTATTTATCTTCACTTTTCAAGTGTGTCTCTTGCAAATAGCATATTGATGGGTTTTGGTTTTTTATCCACTTTGCTACTCGTTTTCTCTTCAGTGTGCATTTAACCCTTTCACATTCAGTGTAATAATTGAGATGCAAGGTTTTGTTGCTATCACCTTGTTGAGTTATTTTTGGTGTTGTTGCTGGTTACTTTGGTGTTGTTGCTGGTCCATTCTGCTTTCTGAGGCACCTCTATAAGAAGGATTTCTCTCAAGGGAGCTCTGTTTGCCTAATGGCAAGAAGCTGTTGTACAATCTAAGACATGTGCAGTTCGAATCCACCAGATGCTTTGCAGGAGAAGGATGGACAATCCTCCTGTACTAGTCAGATCCCTTTTGATGGTACATGTACAAAAAGCCAATAATTTATTTATTTTTTTTTTAAAAGGATTTCTCTCAGTGTTTCTTATAATGCTAGTCTGGTTTTTACAAACTCCTTTATCATCTCCTTTTCTGAGAATATTTTGATCTCTCCTTCATATTTGATTGAGAATTTTGGTAGGTATAGTATTTTCGGTGGACTTTTGTGTTCTCTAAATGTTCAATATATGTCATACAACTGTATTCTTGCTTGAATGGTTTCTGCTGAGAAACTGGCACTTAATCTTATTTTCTCTCCCTTATAGGTTATTCTTTGTTTCTCCCTAGCCACTTTCAGAACTCTCCCTTTATCATTGATTCTGGCTAATATGACTATGTTATGCCTTAGAGTTTTTCTTTTGGGGTCTACTATGTATGGTGTTTGCTCAACTTTTTGCATATATATTCTTGCATTCCTGGCAAGTTTTCTTTTTGTAATTCTTCCACAACTTTTTCTTTACCTTTACTTGTTTCTTCCTGTTGTTGGATTCTGATTATGTGCATGTTATTTCTCTTGATGCTGTTCCATATTATTCTTAGACTTTCTTCTTTTTCCTTCCTTTTTTGTTTTACTTTATTGTGGTAGCAGATGAAGTTTAAGGTGTTCATTGATCACAAGTGGCAGAAGCCACAGACACACAAGAGATGTTTGAAAGGCAAAGGATTATAGCTCCATCAGGCAAACAGAAAAATGAAGATGCCTGTCCTCACTTAATTACAGAAGCAGG